CTAGCAAACCTCAAAACCAGAAACTAACTACCGTTGCTATGATTTTCTCGTTGCCGTCGCTGTTCTGGCCTGCTAATTGTTAGCTCCAAACCTTTCTCTTCTCTTTAATTTTCATATATTCCAAGAAAGTGATTCTACTAATAGGTTCAATTGTAAATCATACTTAGCAACCACTTCAAGTTCAAAAGCAACCGATTCATGTTCTCATTAATGAAGCACCTAGTATTAAAAATATCCGCCCAAGGCGCTGTTTCAGTTCGTATCTGGCAGTTGGCAGATACGATCAATGGATTCGAGAAAAAATCAAAGTACGAGATATTATGGAAACGATAAGCAAACTCAAATTGAATTGAGCTGGTCATGTGGCGAGAAGAACAGAAAACCGTCGGACAACCCCTTCATTACGTTCTGGACGCCCCAGGGACACACAGGGAACCACGGAAGACCGAGGACGAGATGGAGGGACGATTTAGAGTGTTTGGTAAAACACTGGCATCGTATTGCGCAAAACGTGGTCCAGTGGAGGTCAATGGGAAAGGCCTACGTCAAACGACGGACATTCAAAGGCTGAAACTGAACTGAAACTGAAGGTCCCTGCTTATTTGAATATGTACATACATGTAAATATAGTTTACTAAGGGTGCTTTGGCCTGGCGAACTAATAGTACAAAAATATCAATTTCAATAAAGGAAATACTGCATGGCATCGAGTTGTTCGTCTCCTCCTGACGAACCAAAAAGACCACACCCTACGAGCAGAGCCTGGCTTTGTCTTTTTCTTGATCCGAGGACAGGGGTGGATCTAGGGGTGCTGAGGCTGGGTACCCTCCCTTCCCCCCCCTTCGAGATGACCTGCGGCTTTCGTTCTGCAAAGTAAGCAGATATGTATATGTACTCTCAGCAGTTCACTTTATGTTATTGACTAGTCAAAAGCCTTCTTCGTATTCGCTTTTATGATTTGTTGTCTTCACTAGTCAGTTAAGCCATTCCTTAGTGGTGCACCCCGTCCTAAGAAAAATCCTGGACACGCCCCTGGATGAGGTGGAAAGAGGGTAAAAGCAAACAAAAATATTTACTTAAGAGCAGCTTTTTAGTGTAAATTTGGATATATGATGTAGTAACAAATAAAGTTAAACAATGGAGGAAAATTATTCGGCCTCGTTCGCCATAAAAAAATGGCTCGTGCGAAAGTTGCTGAATGAGAACACAGGCTGTACTTAAAGGAGCTGTGTCACGACATTTATATCAAAATTCAGACACTGGGAACGAAAATTCGCCCCATGTAAGGGAATCCATGGCCGTCTTGGATTCTGGATTCCACGCCGTGGATTCCGGATTCCAAGCACTGGATTTCGCCGGGATCTTTTGTCAGTGGAACATGGATTCCGGATTGCAATCGTTTTTGGGATCCGGATTGCTTGGCCTGCATGCCGGATTCCAAAGCCCAAGTCTTCCCATTGCACAAGAAAAATTACCCGGATTCCCTTACAATAAGCGAACCAAATGGCACTTAGAGTGTTAATAAAAGAAGGTTAATTAACAATTATTGGATGAGCGGAGTATCATCTGAAGAATTATGGAGATTGAGACTTAAACGCCGCTGTAAGAGCGTTCTTGTTGTAAAAGCTTTGTTTATGTTTGAAGATAGTGTTTCTGGGATTTGTCGAGTGCTGTTCCACTAGAAAAATATTTTCCCAGCCATTGTTAAATACGACAAGCCAAATTTCCCCGTTTTCTTGGCATTTAAATTCGCTGATACAGCCGTTTTATTTGTCGTTAAAATGTCGTCTTCCGAAACTGTCCCGAAACGAAAGCCATACATTTTAACTCCCTTCCCAAACAGCGAATGGCTAAAGATAATCCGAGTTATATGCAGGGAGCCGATCAAAACGTCCGAAAATTATTATGCGCCGATTTGGTAAATACTAATGACTGCTATCGCTTTCATTGCTTGTGCCCTCCAGGCTCAAAATCTTGGAATTTATACATGCATATAAATTCCTCGATGCACAAAAACGAAACTCGAAAACATAATAATGTTATTTAAAACACCCTGGCCCCGATGTTCAAAAGTTGGATAGCGGTATCCACCGGATGAAAATCTATACTCTATCCCTGGGATAACGCAATTGGTTTTCCTAATTCTTATATCCACTGGATAGTGATTTATCCGGTGGATAGCCCTATCCAACGTTTGAACAACCGGGGACTAGATGTCATACATCATGTATCATCATGAAATGTTCCTCCAATAACTAAATCAGATCTATTTTATTTATTTTTAGAAATTACAAATAATATATATATGGGAAAAGTAGAAAAAAGAAGTGGCAAGGAGACCTAACAGAAACTATAGGAGCTTATGAGAGGTTAGTTCTCTTCGAACTACGTGCTAAAGCTGTTTAA